TGGCAAGGCCGCAAACACAAGGTCGGTGAAACGGAGGCCGGTCCTTCCCCGCCGGGCCCTGCAGGACACAGCCCCCGCCCGACCGCAGACCCCGACGGCCCTCAGCCTCACCTTCGCCGGCGTCCGCTTTGGAAGCCGCCTCGGCAGCCTTGGGCTTCTTGGTTTTCTGTGAGAAGAGGACAGCGGTTGGAGGCGGTGCGTCTGTGAGGACCTGCTCCCTTCTCCATCTATACTCCCGAATCCACTGCTCAGAATGTGCTGAGACAGACTTCACGGATAAAAGTCAACGTTGATCGCAACTATTACCACTAAGCAGCAGTTCAGTGAAAAATGCAAACTAAGTCCGGCAAGGCAGCCTGGACGCTTAGGCTTGGGCACATAGGGCACATCTGAGCTGTTCTCCTAAAATCTGTTACCCTTGTGGAGACTTTTAGGCACTAGAATTCTGTTACTTGTAATCGTTATTTTGCTAAGAATTAAAAAGTTAATTAGCCATTCTAAAACTACACAGCTGTGTTTGCACTGATTCAAATGCAGAAATTACCAACAAGGCAATGCTCACTCAAATTACTTTAAAATGTTATTTTCCTAAGTATCCAAAGGGTGGCGCTAATGCCACAGAGTGTAATTATTTCTTCAAGGTTCCTTCGTGGGGTGGGTAATGGTCTCGCTTGTCACATACAGGCAATGGGACTTTAAGGGCTGAACACAACAAAAACCAGCTCACTTCACCCAACTAACGATGCGCACACGCATTTGCGAAGGTCAACACGAAAAACCAGACAACTATTCACTTGTAAGTCCTCCATCTGCAGCTTCTTTTGAAAAGCAAGGGTGGTAAGCAGGCAGGCCAGGCCGACCCGCTGGCTGCCGTATTTGGGAAATATTTTGCATCCTGGCAGCGGTAGCTACGCAGGTCCCAGACGCTCAGGTGTGCACCCTGCAGGGTGGGGCTGCTACTTCCTCTGGGCTTTGACAACTTGGCAGGAAGCCTGTGACAGAATTCACTGACAGGGTGGCTCATAAACTGCCTGACAGTCTCTACTAGCTTCCTTTAAAATATGACTTCTCGCGTGTTTGTTTCTAAAAACTAATCAATGGCAGCAATGAAGAATCGATTCCTTTCTGGACTTGTCCTCTGCCATAGACAGGTCTAGTTTTTCCTTTGTCTTTTCTGATCTTGAAGTCAGAGTAATTTAGGAAACCAACGTACAATTTAAACACTTATATATTTGGGTTTTTTTGGTACCGGGGATTGAACTCAGGACCTTGTGTTTGCAAGGCACATGGTTGGCACCACTGAGCTAAGTCCCTGGCCCTATATTTGATTTTTAACCTCCATGCAACACTAAAATGACCAGATGGCTCCATATTTCTCACTGCTGCTGTATTAACATAAACAGCAGCACAGAATTATTTCTATCTGTAGCCGGTCTCAATGTTTGGGCACAACTCTGTACTACTCATCAGTTCATATGCATTATTTTCTACTTCAGTAAAATGATAAAAGGAGCCAAAGCGACCAGCTCTGGCTCTGACGATTCCGAGTCTGTGCCTGTTAGTGCTGCTATGCGTGCTCCACCAGCAGCCGTGCCAGTCTAACCACAGATTATATATGGTCCCAAGGCGAAAGGGGTCCTATCACTTCTTCAGTGACTAAAGAAACACAGAAAGCAAAAAACAAAGCTCTGAAAAAATCTTGCATTATCTCATCACTCTCTCCTAGAAGCCTAGTGGATGCAGACACATTTTAAAGTCCTGTTTCCCTAACAGTTTGTCCTCAGAGTACTGACACTGATTTCCTAACAGTTCCAGCATTCTTCTGCTTTAGTTCTGATCACATTAAGTTTTCTCTCGTTTGCCCTGAGCCTAACTTTTCTGTTAAAAAAAAAAAATCACTCACAAGACCTGCAATATACAGCTGACATCTGCTCCTACTTAGTAAGCCATGCAATCACAAATGTACTGCTGGGCCCTGGAGTGACGCCTTTTCTTTTGGGGACAATGAGGCCGAGACCCATGACCTCACAAACTTCAGCCCATTTCTCATGCTGTGGCACTAAGCAGAGCTCGCGCTGCTTCTGGACATGGTGCCCAAGCTAGGACCACAGTACCCAGGCTTCGGCGGGGCTTCCTTCTGGGGGGCCGGGAGCTCCTCTCCTCGACCGCCTGTCCTGGGGTGGAGCCCTCAGGGCTGCATCCTACACCCCAGGGAAGGGAAAGAGTGGGACCTGCTGGAACCCAGACCACAGGGGAGCCCCGGGCATGCTGGGATGACGGTGACTTCCCACTGCCTGTCTGAGAAGTCACAAAAACTGAGCACTTGTTCTTTTAAAATAAGTGATAACAGCCCTGGTCGCTGCCTTTCCCCAGGGCTTGCTAAGATCTGTGCAAGGGCATTTTGATCTCTTTAGTGCTCCCAGCACCCCCTGTCCTGTGTGGGCGCTGTCCCCGGCCGCTGCACTGACCACAAGTCTGTTGCGACCTGCAGACCCAGCTGTGAATCACGACTCCAGGTGAGAGCGGATGCACAGCCTCTCCGTTACCTTCTCTTGCTTTGCCCTCAGCCGCCGCGCCTCCATCCTCTTCCTCAGCGTCTCCACGTCCTCCTTCGTGCCATTGAGCACGATGACATCGTCCTCCTGGAAGGCAGCCCCACACTGCAGAGGGCAAAAGAGGGCCAGAGTCCATCACCGGGACCTCACCCTCACCCCAGCGCCCTTCTCTGCTTTTGCCAGGCTCCCACTGGGGCTCCGCATGACTCGCAGCACGGCCAGCTTTCAGGTCCAAAGTCTTGGTCTGGGAAATCCGTGTGCCAGGACAGCGCCAGCCTAGCAGCCTGACTGTGCCACCTTGCAGGGTCTGCTTACACTGCTGGCCCTGGTGGATTCAGGAAGGGCTCCTAGCATTTCTTAGCTGGTATGGGGGGGCACATGGGATCTGGACTCTGTAGTGTGTGGTTCATGATGAACACACAAGCTTTCAAGATGAAAGCTTTCCCTCTTTGTGGCTAGAATTTCGGTGTGTGCTTGCTGAGGGTAAGTAACCAGCTCCCAGCCAAAACCCCAGCCCTGATTTGCTAACGGGCATGGCTGGGCAGAAGCCTGTGGTGCTACGGCTGCGTCTGCTCGGTGCCCCTGAAGGGAAGCAGAGCATAAGGAAGAGCTCAGTGGATTCTTCCAGACTCTACAACCTGCGTTTCCTCCCTCACCATCCTGCTATGCACCCTCCTTACTGCACCACTGCAGTGGGACCGAGCTGAGAGAACATCTGCACCCTTAAATCCTAGAAAGTTCCACCTAAGAAGGTGCTCTGGGGAAGCCCAGGCAGAAGCAGTCTGTGAGCTTGGTCCAGGGCCCACCCTGGCAGGGCCAACAAGCACAGCTTTGCGGGCGAGGCAGCACCGCCTCAGAGAGGCCACCTGGGGCCAGGCCTGCTATGCCCTCAGCCCATGAGGTCCTAGTACCCTGCTGTCATCTGCCGGAACTGTCTCCTCACCACTGTGGCCCCAGTGCCCAGCATATGGCGGGCGGTCTGTGCAGCAGGGCCGGGACAGGAGGAAGTGGAAACAGTGAGAAGTGGAGGTTCCACTCCTACAATACCTGGAAGTGATCTCTGTACCCCATCTGCCCAGGACACAGAGGCCTTGGTGTCCTCAGCTGTACAGACTGACCTAGGAGCAGCGTCCTCAGCTGGGGCCAACTCTGCTCCCAGCGAACGCCCAGCACTGTCTGGAGACAATCGAGGCCTCTGGTGGACACAAGCCCGAGAGGCCACTGAACATCTCCCAGCGGGAAGGCGGCCCGTACCACTGAGGACCATAGGCTACAGCGCCATCCCGCGAGGCTGAGACACCCCAGGCAGAGTCTCACCCTCAAGGGGAGAGCCAGCACCGTCAGAGAAGTCGTGAGAAAACATGCTTTCTGACAGAGGAGAATCCCAGCCGGGAGGGGACGTCTGGGTAAGGGAGCCCTCAGCCCCTGGGGAGGGGGTCTTTTCCTGGGAGAGGGAAGAAGAGTTACCCGCAGGGCCAGCGCTGTGGCCCTGGCTCTGGCATATAAATAGCCCTCATGAGGGTAGATCTGCGTGGAGCTGCAGAGCCTGCTTGGTGAGCGCGCCTCCCTCCCCTCCAGGGTTCCTGCTTGTTTCCTGCCAGAGCCCCTGCTGCCCGCCAGCCTAGGGTCGGGGTCACCGGCATCTGCACACACTTGTGCCTGGCCGGGCGGATGCACCTTGAGAGCTGACCTGTCACCAGGGAGTCAGGGTCCTCACATCAAGAGTGAGCCCTCTCGCTCCTTGTCCAGAGATAAAAGACCCAATCCTGTACACTGGGCCGTGGCCCTGTCCTCTGCCCAGGCCCTGTCACCTGCATGGACTGGTGCCGACCAGGGAGCCGAGAGCCCAGAGCTAGGCGCAGTGAGGAAGGGCCGGACAAGACTGGACCGGACCGGACAGGACTGACAGGCAGAGTAGCTGCAGGAGAGCCAGGCCAGTGCTCTTGGAGACCCACCACTCCCACCAGAGCCTATTCTACGGGCGCTGTTCTCACCCTGCCCAAGTGTGTGTTCATTTACAATCTGCTTACTCTCATCACTTGGAACTTGGGTGTGAAGAAATAAGACAAGTTACAAAAATCATAACATTCCTAAAAAGGAAGAGCACACCACTATTTTAGTTTCTGACTATGTAAAACAGGCTTACATAGATTGAAAGAAAAAGTACACTTACAATTCTGTATTCACGTGACGTCTAGATGCTAATTTTTAAAAAAGTACTTTAAAAAAGCCAGGAGGGAAGCACCAGGAGAGAACAGGGAATTCTGCCTGCACATTCATGTCACGTAAGTGCACTGCTGAAGAGACTTCCCGGCATCTGTCCTGGCAAAGGGGAACTGCAATGAGCAGCCAGCGCGCCACCTCCCACCCAGAAACCTAGTTCAGCGACTCGGTTACTCGGCCTCGGGCTCCTGCTTGTGCTTGCACAGGACTCCATGGTGCACAGCCCACGGACGCACACCCGCACTCGTGTACCGACCTGCCTGACTGCCTTCTCCACCAGACCCTAACGGTTCCGCCTGGGAACCGTTCTTCTCAGTCCTGGTGGGGGCCGTGGTCTGCGTGCAACACACTGAGAAAGAACTGCTAACGGGGGCGGGGTGGGGCCTGGGTGAGAATGGTTTCCGGGGGTATTTTAACCCAGGAGCCTCAACTCGTGGAATCCAAACAGTTCCACAGCAGCGTCACACGCTGGCTTTCACAATGAAAGCTGCCCAGGGGGCGCAGGCGCGAGCGACCCCCTCAGATCTTTGGAGCTGCTGGCGCGCACAAGGCGGCCGTCTCACGTCCCCGCCAGCAGGGGCAGCCGAGCACCTCCCCACCTCCGCGTCACCACCAAGAGGAACGAAGCTCTCCAGGGACGCAAAGGCAACGCAGCGGGCCAGGCCACTCCGAAGCAGGGCCACTGCAGGGAAGCAACCGCCGAGGAGGACGGCGGCTGGCGGCACCTGGCACCTGCGAGATGCCACGGGGACGGAGGACGGGACTGGGGCCGCCCAGCGCTCACCACTGCCGCTCTCTCCGGGACTGCAGCGGTGGAAGCTGAGCAGGTACTCGCTGATTTCTGCAGGAAAATGTTTTCTCTGCCCCTCTCTGGCTTTAAAGTAGAATGCTGGAGTATCAGTAAATCTAGTAAACCTGTACATCAAACCTGTGGGTCCCCTTTTCTCCCAGAAAGCCCCCACTTTCTCTTTAAGCCCCCCCAGTCATAAGCGGAATACGTGCACAATGTAAGATCAACTGGATTTAAAACTTTTAAATGCCATCATGTTAATTCCTCACATGGGAAGTAATCATTAAGACAGCCTCAAGGCCACGTCCAATTCCTCAGTTCTCACCTTGTGCTAAAAATGAAAACAAAATGTTGTGTCAGCTGTGGGTGAGTGGACACCATAAAATGAAGTTTTCCTCCTCACATCAAAATGGCTAAAAAATCCGCACATGTCCCCGGGCTATGATTAAGATCCATTTCACGGGCAGTCGGCCAGGCTGAGTTCAAAATTTGCCAGCGAATGTGCAAGAGAACTGTGCGTGTTCCGTGGAGTCGCCGCAGTGGGCTGGGAGTCTCAGAGCAGCAGATGCAAAGTCCACCTCCTCCCCTCCCCGCAGTGCCAGGTTCTCTAAGGAGATACAGTAGCAAGCGCCACTGCTTTTTATAGACAAAGCCCTGAAACACTTTTTTTGGCTCACTAAATTATTTCTCCTGATTAAATGAACATTAATGCTATAAACCAGAGAAATTTTAAACTACCAGACAAAACATTTTAAGTTCACCTTTAAGGGTGCCCATTATTGTCTATTTGTTATTTTTGTTGTTTTTTTTCTTTTTCACCATTACCTTTAAAAGTAACAACTAGAGCCAGAAATGGTAGCACACACCTGTAATCCCACCACTTGGGAGGCTGAGGCAAGAGGGCTGCCCCAAGTCTGAGGCCAGCCTGGACTACACAGCAAGACCCCAAATAAAAAAACTAAATATATAAAATGAAAACCTAATTGTGGGGGGGTATGCAGCTTACTGTGAAGTGTGAAGGCCCTGAGTTCAATCCCTAGTACCACCATAAAAAAGAAAAGTAAAAACTAAAGAAAAATATACTCTGAGTAAATGAAGGGCTGGAGCTGCTGCCCCAGTGGTAGTGTCTGCCTCTCATGCTTGAGGCCCTGGATTCCATCCCCTGCACTATCCAAACTATGACACACACATTCCCACACGCACACGCACAAGCACACACGCGTGTCTGTGGGGAGCTGCCAACTCCCTCCAAGTCTTCTTAGTAAATTAAACCCCATCATACAATCAACACTTTTGTACCTGGACAAAAACAAAATGCAAGGCAGCTCCCCCTAAGAACTCTAACTGGAAACCACTCCCATTACTGTAGATCCCAGCACTGTGTAAAGGTGGGGAAAAGTCACTCAGCTTCCCTGACTGCAACCTGAATCACTACTTCCACCAAAAGCTGTCCTGCAGTCAGGTTTCAGCAGCCCGAATGCAGGGTCTCAGCAGCATTCCCTACGGGAAGCCATCTGCTTCTCTTGGGTACCACACAGTTTAACAGTGCCAGCTTCCAAGGCTGCCAACGTCTATTCAGTACACACGGCGTGGGAGACAGCACAGGAGAGGTGGGAAAGCCTCACACACCCACCTCTGAGGAGGCACCTGTGAAACAGTCCTGTCAGGACATGGGGTCCAGTGGTGGTGCGGGCATCTGGGCTGGACAGGGACCGGGCACATTTGTGGCGCGCGCGCGCGCACACACACACACACACACACACACAGCCACTCTCCTATCCGAGTACCAACCAGTCCCACCCTGCTTAGCTCGGTTACTCTTTCTAAAGCCTTTAAGCCGGTAAATACTTTGGACGCAACTTCTATGGGGAAAAATGGTTAAAAATCAGAAAGACTATTTGAGGAGTAACATATTTCTTACACTTGATAGATACCATCTACGTTTCTTGGACATTAGCTTAGTGATAGAAAGTCGCATGATAAAAAATATATCTTCATTATGGCTAAGTAACTGTGCAACATAAAAACAAAACAACTAATCAAGAATCACCAGGAGATGTTTACAGAACTGAAAACGGAGTTCACTGCTCCTGTAAAAGGACAGCCCTCCAGTCCCGAAGAGCACCCCTCTGGGAATTTTCACATTATCCCCCGGATATGGTGTTAAAGCGACAGCAAGCACTGTTTATATTCAAAAGCAGGGAGCTCTCCAAAGACTCCCATCACAAGACCTGTCCCGACCCAGCCCCCGCTGCAGTGACGAAGAGAAACTGCTCGTGGTCCCAGCTGCCCCTCATCTACACCACGTCACAGCGGAGTCAGCCGGGGCCAGGCTCGGGCAGATGTGACAGCGTTGCTGACCGAACAGAGGTGGGAAGGTGGCAGGGGACACCGGACCCGCCCTCAGCCCGCTCTGCACTCAGCCTGGGTTTGCCTGAAACAATGGCCACCCCAGGACTGTCCTCATTTAATTACATAAACCGCTGAAACTACCCAGTCCCCTGGGCTCTGCTGCTGGGTTCATACTCGGTCAGTGCAGAGGGTCTTACTGATTCTGCAACACAAACCAAAGCCCCAAACAGGAAAAGATGTAACAGGCTACAGCTAGGGCTGCCTTTATCAGAGGTTCTAAAAAGCTTCACTTCCATTTTCAGGAGTCTCCTTCCCATGCAACATCTATTTTTATGATGTAAATTGTTTAGAGACTTATTATATAGAGATTTTATATTTCCATTTAATAATGCCATATAATCTTTAAAGTAGGCCATAAGGTGTTTTTTTCTTTTTGGTACTGGGCACTGAACTCAGGACCTTGCACTTGTGAGGCAGGCCATGGCACCACTGGGCTAAATGCCCGGCCCCATAAGGTTTGATATTTAGCACAATCAGTGAACATTTACTGAAAGAGCATAAAACATACTTTGGGCAGTGCTGCTTTTTAGTCTGCAAGCATGCTGAATAGAAAGAAACTGCAATGAAAATAAATACATTTTAAAAAATCCATAGCCAACATACATGTATAGTACCGACTGTCCCAAAGTTCAACAAGCCAAGGCTAATTCCAAATGCCGTGTAATGACGGAGTGGACAGGCAGGACATCAGTGTCCGATATGAGGTGGGCACCAGTCCAAAGTACAAAGGCTTTCTAAAAAACAGGCAACAGGAATAAGACATAGTTTCTTATGGAAACTGAGAATCACGATTCCTCAACAAACAAACAAAAAGTCCTAACAATATAAACCTTGACATTTATCCAACCTAAATTCCAAAGGATGATCCTTGCACACAGCATTAACTAAAACACTTCTAATTACCTTTTGCAGCTGCTATGCCTATGCAGGTACCTACTTAGAGGTCAAGACATCTTGTTTTTAATCACTTAAGTCTTCCCTAAAAACAATTCAGAGACTCATTTCCACAGATTTAAGTTTATAATTGTATAACTTCCATTTCCTTAAGGAAAGATCTGGTCTCCATGTAATACAAATACTTGGGAATAACATGAAAACATGCTCGTCACCAGGCAAGGTGGGTAAGAAACCCACAAGGACTCAGCACCACACACCTATCCCAACAGTTACGGTGCTACTATGTGACCACACCAGGTACCATCAGGACACAGGTACTGTGCTGCTGCTGTTTCCACCACTTTTGGAAATTAGCCCGGCGGCTTCTTTTCTTTTTTTCTCCCAGTTCTGGGTGTGAATCCAGGGGCATTCTACCAATGAGCTATGTCCCCTGATCTTTTTGGTTCTTCTTTCCACTGGGGATCGAACTCCGGACTTACACTTGTGAGGCAGGCCGAGTGCCACTGAACTACGTCCCCCGCTCCCCAGATCTTTTATATTTGATTTTGTGACAGGGTCTTGCTAAACTGCCCATGCTGGCCTAGAACCACTGGTGGTCTCCTGCCACGGCCTCCTGGGATTACAGGCATGCACCATTGTGCCCTGCAGTCTGGCAGTTTCTTAAGGAATGACACTGTTTGTAACGTCCACCACCACGTGACAAGGCGTTTCACTATCTGATATCTGCCCAAGAGAAACAAAAACTTCTGCCCACACAGATGTGTATACAATGCTTACACTGTCTTTCAATATTCCAATATTCAAAAGCCAGAATAATTTAAATGCCCACCAAGAGATGAACAAATACATAGTTTACAGCCACAACATGGAATATTACCCAGTAATAAAAAAGAACTGGTGACAAATGGGATGACAAGGATGAATCTCAGAATTGGTACAAGTGAAAAAAGCTGGGACTGAAAAAATACATGTAATGATTCCATTTACATAAAGTTACAGAATGTGCAAACCAGTCCAGTGAGACAGAAAGCACACCAGCGGCTGACCACCTAGTTGGGAGGGAAAGGACGGGTTAAAGGGGGCACAAGAGCTCTGTGGGGAGGAAGATGCACGCAGACTGTGCTGGTCCCCATCTGCACACACACAGCTGGGCCCCACGACAGCCAGGCTACCCAGGGGCTGCGCAGGATCCTCAGGGCCAGCCCAGGCAGCAGTGAGACGCCATCTCAAACAAAGACAAACTTGGAAAAGTTGTGCAGTTAAGTACATGTAGTTTAGTAAGCTTCATTAAAGTTAATTCCGTTGTTCTTTTAGGAGGCTAAAGGAAGAGATTTCAGGCCGTGGCACTAGAACGCATGTGGAGCTCACAACATGAGCCGGCTTCGGGCCACGCAGCCAGGCCTTCTTGTGTGCACAGTGACCGGCGTCCTCATCTTTCTCTGCGTTAGGACTCTCACTCCCGAGAAGCCAGAGGAGGAGCCCACACACCCAGTGGCAGTGGAGTGCGGCTTTTATCCTGACGAACTGTGTTCAGCTCTGTTTGAAGGGAAAGGGGTGGCCCCTCAAATCGCAAAATTCTGTAAAATCCCTCATGGGTCCGAAATCCTTGCTTATTTACACACTCCAGGAAACTGCTCCCAGACGGCCCAGAGGCTGCGTTTCATCACCAGGCCCCTGTCTGCCGAAGAGGGCAACTTTCCTCTGGCGTACATAATCACTCCTCCGAAGGAGCTGGCCATGTTTGTGCAGCTTCTCAGAGCGATTTACGCACCTCAGAACGTTTACTGTATTCATGTTGACGACAAGGCCCAAAGGAAGTACAAGGCTGCTGTGCAAAGCCTGGTCAGCTGCTTTGAAAATGTCTTTATCTCATCAAAGAGACAGAAAGCCGCTTCTGCGGGCCTTACAAGACTACAGACAGATATTAACTGCATGAGAGACCTGGTCCACTCCAAATTTCAATGGAACTATGTCATTAATCTTTGTGGGGAGGATTTTCCAATCAAAACCAATAAAGAAATCATACACTACATCAGAAGCAAATGGAATGATAAAAATGTCACTCCTGGAGTAATGCAACCATCAACTCCTAAACACAAGACAAGTCAAAGTCACCCCGAGTCCAGCCCTACAGGAGGCATCTATGTCCCACCGAATGAAGGATTCAAACGTGAGCCCCCCCATAACCTAACGATTTACTTTGGAAGTGCTTACTATGTGCTTAGGAGAAAGTTTGTGGACTTCATATTGACTGACGTCCGTGCAAAGGACATGCTGCTGTGGTCCAGGGACATCCACAGCCCAGAGCGCCACTACTGGGTGACCCTGAACCGACTGAGAGGTGAGAGCAGCCCGGTAACACAGTGTCTGTGCAGGTTACAGCAGTGCAGGAGTTTCAGCCTGGACTGGTCCCCTCTACTCAGCTATTTCCCCATAGCTTTTCCAAGAGCCCCCACCCGGCAGTACAGGAGGGTCTCTGGTTTTGGGGGTCTAGAGTTAGCGGAGAGTCATGCTCCCAAACCAACACGGCTGGGTTAGAAAGAAGTACAGTACTGGCATTTTGGTCAATTTTGGGTAAGGCCTTTTGAAAAATCAGAGCATAAATCTTTGGCAACGTCTTCATTTCTTCATTTACTCGATAAATCCTATGGGACAGCTACTGGTGCCAGGCACTTGCTAAAGGTCCCTTAAGAACGTAAAGATGAAAACTAGTGATGTTTTTATAACAAACCCAATTCTTCAGATGGGTTCTCTGAGGCCTCTGTGAAGTGCACTTAAGTCTCTTCTCTTTATAAAAAGGTGTCTCCTGCAGAGAACATGGCTTCCAACTTAGCAACTAAGTTTATCAGTCCAGACAGTGCAAAGGAGGGGTCCAGCAGAAACTGGTCAAGGCCTTTTTATAATTTCCGTACCTGGGATGGGGATGTAGCTCGGTGTAGAGGCCATGGGTTCTATCCTCAGTACTACAGAACAAAACAAAACTCCACAGCACACACTGGTTCTGTCTGTTAGACGCTCCAGGTGCCACACCAGATGCTGGCTGGGAAGGAGATGTGCGAGCCATCAAATGGAGATCAGAGGAAGGAAAGGGCCACGATGGATGTAAAGGTAAAAACAAAAGCAAAACACACCTTACACTCTCACAAAATCTAGACAGTTGTTGCTTAGTGAAGGTGGGAGGAGGCTGATGATCAGGTTTAACCTGAAGTTACTAGCACAGGTGTTGATGTAGACAAATAACTCAACATAAGGTCCACAAAGAAAAGTGTACAGATAACAAACACACAGGTAAGCTTTTTGTTTCTTTTCTTTTTCCTTTTTGGGGTGCCGGAAGGAAGGAAGCCAGGTCGGTGTGCATGCTAGGCAAGCTCTCCACCACTGAGTTGTACCCCAGTCCAGGTGATAAATACTCACAAAGAACACACAGGACCGTAACTTATCAATCCTTCAAACAGCAACAACAATAACGACAACATACAATTCGGCTTTTTCTACCCACTCCTAGAATTCAAACTCAATTACAAATGAGCTCTGTGTCCCTTGATTAGAATATAAAACTGGATAACACGGGCTTATGCCTCAGAGCAGGTCAACAACTACGGCCTACACTGTATCAGAAGCAAATGAAATGATAGAAAGATCATTCTGGAGTCTGCTGTTTATTTATATAAAGTTTTGCTCTGGAACACAGCCACAACCATTCACTTAGCATGTGGTTTACGACACTGAAGGGCAGAATTGAGCAGTTAGGACACAAACTCTGGACCAACATAGCCAAAACATGTCTTTCTGGCTCTTACAGATAGTCTGCTGCCTGCTAGAGTTGTGGGCTTCACACTTGTCTTGCTTGCATGCTCTCTAAAGGAAATACGTAAAAAAAAATACTATTATAACTTCAAAGGAGTATTTTCTAGCCTACTAAAACCTGCATATGTTTTGAATAGTTTTTCACCCAAATCATGGCACTACAGACTTAAGTTCATTCAAGCTATAAAACCCCTCCCAAGTTTTAACTGGCAAAGACGGACCTCATGGTGAAGTCAAACAGATCACACATGGGTTGACTTTCTTTTTAGAGAATTTTGATCATGGTGCCACAGACATGCCAAATAAACCAGGGCCAGCCAGCACCAGCTGTTTAAGACTAACCTACAACAAACTGGCTGTGGTCAAACAGGAAGTGCTGACTCCAACACACAGTTCCTAGATGAGGCACTCCTCTGCCTTGTGCACTGCCACTCCCAACAGGTCAGGAGTCTGGGGTGATTTTAGCCAAGTGTTTTTAAAAAGGCAGATAATGATTTGACCGGGAGTCATTCACGTAGTCAGAAGGGGACTGTTAAGAGCAGGCTAACACCCTGCCCTTTCTTTTATTTATTTATTTATTTATTTAATTTTGTTTGTTTGTTTTTTGAGACAGGGTCTCACGATAGTTGAGACTGCTCTGGAACTCAAACTGTGTAGCCCAGGCTGGTCTCGAACTCACAGCGATCCTCTTGCCTCGGCCTCCCGAGTGCTGAGATTACTTACAGGTGTGCACCACTACGCCTGGCCTGCCCTTTCTTTAAAAAGCAGGTACCTGTCATTTACTACATACTGGGGCTGTCAGGACCAGCAGGCAGAAAAGCAAGGGGCTCAGATTCTTCCCCCAATGGCACAAAAGCGGTGTAAAAGGGCAATAAAGTCATTGCTATGATAATAAACACCGGCTCAGGATGCATACGGTGGCAACCTGAGAGTCTCACTGTTTGCATAGAGGTGATGGCGTGGGGCGCTGGAAGGTCTCCACCTAATGGCCTGCAGAGCGACAACCATCAGTGGCCGAGAGACCCTTCATATTACTCACCAGAAAGGCATAAACATTTATTTGTATTCCCTTCAGTTCAAATCCATGTGCATCTAAATCACAGCTCTCTGGTTACAATCAAGGTGTGGCTGATTCCACTTTCACTTGTATCCTAAGTTTTTCACAATGCTTATCTTGATATGTATGATTTCAGCTAGGTAGATGTAACTCTTCTGGGAGTCTGACACTGCGGTCACAACAACTGCTGCTGTGTATGCAATGCCCACTGGTGCCGGCTCTGAGCCCTCCACAGAGACAGGCCTGGCGCTGTGGGAGCAACGCTTCTTCCGATGTTTTCGCTCTTACGAATGCACAGACTTTTGTGCTTGCAATACTTTCTCCCTCTTTTAGGGTAGTATCTCCTTCAGACAGGGTTTTGGAAGTAGGACTGTGGAGCTGAGCAGAGTGCGGGAACTCCCACAGATAGGCCTCTCACCCCCGGAGGCCAAGCCCTCACCTGTCACCTGCAAACTGAGGGTGCCGATGGGAACCCTGCGATGCGGTGTCAAGGGTCAGGAGAGTAGCAAGCGCCAAACACCGTGTGGCACTAAAAAGTCACTGATTCTGCCTTGAAGATAGCCGGTCAGCACTAGATTCTCACTGTAATTCCCCCAAACGGTACTGGGGATTGAACTCAGGACCTTGCGCTTGTGAGGCAGGTGTGGTGCCACTGAGCTATATCCCCAGCCCTATAATTCCCATTTGAATCATCTCATTTGTATCAAACGCTCACTCTCAACAGCCAATGAAGGAAGCAATGGCTTATTAAAAATGACACCTTTCTCATGAACTACCCCACAATCAGAAGTCAGAACCAGAACCTATGAGAACTTAGATTTTATCAGGCAAATGAGTGCTATTTCATCTTCCTGTGCTCATGAGTAGTTAAAATTCCACAGTATTCACATACAGGAGCCACCAAACATTTTAGAAATGACTAACAAAAAGAACGAGAATGTCCTTTTTGACTATAAATTCAAAATGCAGTGTAGCTTGCCCTAAAGCACCATGCTGCTAAATTTGAACTCTCCTGCAGCAATGAGAGCCCTGCCTGCATGACTATGAACAGGCAGGGAAACAGGCAGCTAAGTGTTTGCATTTCTCTCTGCAGGCCACTACGTCCAAGACACCTGCGTATATGGACTAGGAGACCTGCCGTGGATCATTGGGTCGCCTTCTTTGTTTGCCAACAAATTCGAGCCCTCGGCAGACCCCCTTGTGGTCACGTGCTTGGAGAGGCGGCACAGACTTAAGGTCCTCCAGCAGGCAGAAGTCTCTGTAGACCCGCACTGGCGTTTTCAACAGCAAAGTCACTTCAACCTGAAGCCCAGCCACTGAAGAGCGTTCGCTCTCTTACTGGTACCTTTTGCTGGCTGACTTGAAACGACAGGACTCAGGACCAGAGAAGAAGGGGACAGTGACTCCTGGGTATTAGTTAACCCCAAAATGAATTTAGAAACACAACTGCTTTACAGCTCTGGGAAAGGACTCACAGGAGAACGGTAACTTGAGCAGCCACTGGTGACACACACACAAGTACCTTCGGAAGGCTGCCTTCCTCAGCACGGTTCTGGAAAGCAGAGCTCTGTAAGCACACGTCCAGGCTCAAGCTGGGCTGGTGAACCATGCCTTTAGTTTTGAGGGCCTGGATGAGACACTAATAAAGAACAAATTCCCACTGAAAAGGAAATGTGCTTATCTAAAGCTGTTTTTGCTGGATGAGAACAATGTCACTTTACTCTGACAAATCCCAGAAAAATATGTAAGGGTCTATTTCTCTGGATAAAATGAAATTAACCCAGGGTAAGCTGGGAGTGGTGGCACACACGCGGCGGAATCCCAGCACTCTGGGCACTGAGTTGGCAAGACCTCAAGTTCAAGCCCAGGCTGGTCAACCTAATGATTAAGTGAGACAGGGATGCAGCACAGGCAGAAGGCCCTGGGTTCACGCTCCATTATCCTCAAAACACAACCAACCAAGCCCTGGGGCGGAGACCTGCTCCTTAAGGAGGCTGCCCGAGGTTTCCGTGTTCTCAGGCACTGTCTGCTGGGATCTTTTCTGGGCTGGACCCATGCCTGGAGAGCCCATGCTACCACAACCACAGAGGACACTGGACATTAGAAACGTGGCAAGAATGAGGAAGTACTATTGAGTTCTAGTCAATGTTTACATCTTTAATCAATTTACTTTAAAAAACTAGGTGCATGCGGCCTACAGCTACCACACTGGACAGCACAGGACAAGGCATGGGCTTGACGATGCATACTCAGACTCAGTCCGATTTTAACGCTGTCGCTGGTGTCACGGAGATGTCTCTCGCTGTACCCCGCCTCCCCCGAACGTGCTCAGTCACCACGAGACTGAAACACCACTGCCAGGCAGCGCAGCAAAGGGCCGCGGGGCTGGGCAGTGCGAGGCTTAAGTCCCAGTACTGAAAACAAGTCAAAACAAAACACTAAAAAAGGAGGAGCAGGAGCCACAGGGGAGAAACTAAAGAAATAAAACACAAGCAGCTCGGTGAAATGAAACTTCCCATGTAGAAACGACGTCAAATGCACTGAGCCTCTGTCACCCCATTCCCAGGGACCACAGCTCTCAGGTGCTGTCCGCCCGCTGACTGCTGGTTCTGAGAGCTCAGGCTCACTGCAATTATGTTCCCTGAGCTTTATGAAAACTCACCAGCAACTAAACGCAATCCACATTAAAAAAAAAAATCTAACTCTCCTCAAGTTATTTAAAACACACTGTCTGGCCAAGTAACTCCCACGGGCTGTGGGAGAACCACACACGTGCGGGCGAAGCACTCTGCAGGGTCTGACACGGCTCAGAGGGGGAAATCAAGGCACAGGTGACTGAGGAAACGTCTCAGGATCACAGGGTGGAAAGGTGGCGCTGGGATTTGGGGAAGGCAGGCCGTCTGCTGCACCGCCCGACCGCATCCAAGGGAGCAGGGACCTGCACACAGCAGACTCCAACACTGTAGAGAAGCTTCCAGAACAAACCATCTCAGAACAGCACAATGAACTAAAACAAAGAAAAGTGTAAAGGCACAGAGGGGAAAAGCAGCAGGGCCAAAGGAGATGAAGGACTGGTGAGCAGTAGGCTGTGGCAGGAGAGAAGCCAGGCAAAGGGCAGCCTCTGTCGGCACCAGGACCCACAAGAGGCCACTGATCCTTGCTTCTGGGTAAGGCTCTCAGGTTCATCTGTCAGGTAAAAGAATAAGCTAAAGGACATGTAGCAAGGGTCTCCTGTGCACCATGCCGAGGCGGTATATGTACAGGGTCCTGAGAGTCCTCCTTTAGCTTTCTGGGGTCAGAACATGTCAAGTTTACTGTTCAGTTTTCCTAGTAAATCCCTCTTACTCATAAAAGCTAGGCTGCCTGCACTGTGTATTATGTGATGCCTTGAGACTTACCACTCGCAAAGCTAAAACACCTCACTGGGTCCAAAGCCTGAAAATCAGAATTAGCGGACCACTTCCAAAACCCCCTTCCCTGCCTGTCTGTCCCCCTTCACACCTGCCATGAAAACAATGTAGTACACAGTTTTTGTTTTACTTCTGATACCCACACACCCTACTTGGCTATGTATAAGGCCTAAATAAATGAAACCAGAAAGCCAACAAGTCAAATGCTACTGACCACACCCTCCTATGCCCCAGGAATCCACACTTTACTGCTGTACGGACAGACCACCCTGGGGTCTTGTTAAGATCAGGCTCTCTTCCAGCAGGCTCGGGGTGGGGGTATGGGATTCTGAATTTCTTAAGAACAAACAGAAAGTCCCTCTAGGTGATGTGCCAATACTGTGGGTCTGCGGATCATGTCTTGAGTAACAAGCACATCACTGACTGTGCTTACTGTACTTCAATCACGGGTATTACAAGAGGTGCAGAACACGGTGGGGAATACAATTAATTTGAGGGGTTAGTGATTTGTTTGTAGTAAAAACAAACAAAAAACCTAGCAACTGCATCTCTTCGGATCTTGTTAACTGAAACTCGTGTGCATAGCATGTGCTTTAGACAGGGCACCAAGGCTCTTTCAACCCCTTGAGTCTCTTCTAGTGAACTCAAAAGCCCACAGCCAGGCAACTACAGAGTAAAATAGCAAAACACAAACCCTAAATACCACTGGGGGAGGTCCTGATGTTGTTCTCACTTCAACAATTCTTGCACTTATATTTAAAAAGTGTGTATTTGTTTTAGCCTTTTGCTTCTCATTCACATTTTCATGATGCACTCCAGTCCCCAAAGCTGTGCCACCGTTCTTCCTTGTGGCAGAGTCTGGCAGACATAGCCTTTGCCCTGCAAGGCCACCTCTCCAGCAGCCGACACTTAGAGGAGCGGCCATGTGACTCCGCTCTGGCTGCAGAACAGGCGATGGTCCCAGCTTCTAAGGGAGACCCTCTCTAGCCTTGCCATATGGTTGAGGGAAGAAGGGAGAGTAAGTCTCAAACCACAAGAGGTTACAGCTACCACACAGCAGGCACAGGGACTCTCAGTCCCCTGGAAGGAAGCTGTCCGACCTCAAATTTTCATTGCTGCCAGCCTCTGGAACTTGGGTACTGTTTTGTTATAGAAGCTACTCAACTTTGATCAAAATACTTAGTGCTGTATTTCTAAGCTTCAGAAACTTTTTTTTTACTTGTAGTACCAGGGATGAAACTGGTTAGTGGGAGATGTGGGCTGGAGAAGCAGCTCTAGAATGCTAGGAGCCAAGCCCGATGAGGATGCTGGTCAGGGCTGAGAAGACCAGGCTCAGGAGAGCTCAGTGTGCCGCTGGACTCCAGGTTACATGTTACACACTGGCAGAAAAAGTGTCTGCACTTCGCTCATGACTGAAGACCTTAAGGGAGACTGAGATTAAGGGCAGCGGATGAATTAATCTGGTGGAGGAAATTTTGAGGCAGCCAAACATTGAGGCTGTGGCTTGGGTACCGTTGGGGGCCTTTAGTCAGTTCTACAACAAGAATTAAGAGCAAACAGCACAGCAGAATGATATAAAAAGTTTTGAGTTTGGCTGGGAAGGAAGTTCCAGTAAAGTTGGGGCCTACAAAGATGCAGCAGAGGGGCGCTTAGCTGTAAAAAGATTAGCATTAAAAAGAAGCCAGATACTTTGGAAGAGGACAGTGAGAAAAATGGTTCAAAGGCATGTGAGAAATGATCAAGGACCCACCCACTGAAGGCTCAAAATTGCAAAAGTGAAAGACTGCTTTGAGAAGTGAATCCCGGAGCACCAGGTTCAAATGGCAGCAGCCTGAGGAATGGAACGGATCCTCCAGGACTCAGTGCCCAGCCATACAGGCACTCACAGGCTGCTCCCACCACCAGCAGGATGCTACTGCTCCAGATGGCAGTAGACCTTGGTGTCAACACATGGTGTTGCTTTTATGTGCATTCAGAATGTGAGAGCTATAGGGTCAGGAAGTCTTTCACCAGATTTCAGAGGAAGCCTGGGAGGGCAGGCAGTGTACCCAACAGCACAGTATATCAGGCTGAAAGTACAGTGGAGACCCCGGAGGGCGGAAAAGGGAGGGATGTGCACCTAGCCGAGGACAGCAGCAAGGAGTAAGCACAGCCAGTCCTAGAGCTAAGCCATGAGGGATACAGACACCACTGGCCAGGCTGAGGGTGGGGCTGACCAAGCCCTTCAGAATTCACATCTTGCCACAGACTGTCCCCTGGGCTGGACACGGAATGACAGGATTTAATGTCTGCCCTGCTGGATCTTGGGGATGATTCAGTCCCATTCCTTTCTATTCCCCTACTTCTACCTTACATGCTGGCAGTGTTTAACATTCTTTTCATTTTTACAGGGACTTACACCTAAGTGTGTGCCTTAAATCTCAGAGAATTCTGACCTGGGACTTTTCAGGTCTTACCTCAAACCAACCCGAGGGAGCCCTGCCCATCTTACTGCTCCGTGTGCTTCCAGGCATGTCACAATGGACGCAGCTTTGCCCACTTCCCTGAAGGCCTGTCTGTCCTGCAGGAGTCAGGTCCAGGAGGGCAGCACTTGCAGAGCCCTTCCCCTCCAGGACCTCACTCATCAGTGCCTCCGACAGGGGCCGGCCAGCACTGCTGGGGAGAAATGCTGCGGCCCACCTCAGCAGGCTGAGTCAGCACAGGCTGGAGACAGCCAGATGCTGCTGGCGCCTGTGCGACACTGAGCTGAAGGCCCAGCTTCAACAGGGCCACTGAGTGCAAAGATGCAGAGGCTCCAGGCTTCAGCAGCACCAGTGAGAAGGCCACGCCCTGGGTTTTCCTCCATGAGTGCCGTGGTGCGGGCCATTTGCTGAGTGCACAGACCAGAGAGAATGAGCCTCGACAGCAGGCGATGCACATGCCTGTCCCCTGCCTCAAACACCCTGAGGCTGGCAGGGACACACACCTGCATCACAGCGAGCAGGGAGGTGGGTCCTTAGGGAAGCGAAGGAGGGGAGGTAAGGATTCCCAAAGCAGGGGCCTTGAGGCTGGCAGGGCAGAGGGAGCACAGGCAGGGTGTGGACAGCCAGGGCACAGCCCTGTGGCCCGAGATGGGTAGGCTGGTCCGGCCTCAGCTCACAAGCGGCTGTTTGAGTCTCTGCTTCCAGCAATGAAGTCATGAAAGGCATTTACGTGGAAAAGCAGCTGTCAGACATGTGCTTCAGACAGAACTTATGGATATTCACACAGAAACTGAAGGGAGGGGCTCTACAGGTCTGACTCCCTCAGCTACAAAGAAGGAGCAAATGGAGCATATCAAGAACTCACCGTGTGACAAACTTCTGCTTTTACCTCTTTCAAGGCACGTTCAGAAAACACACAACCGCAGCACCGAAGGAAGCAAAACCTGGAGAGAGACCACCGTGGAGAATGGTTTAAACAGTACCAAAATAAGTACCTGCGTTATTAACTGGAATTTGCTCAGTTTACAAAGACCAAGATAAAAATGGTTATATTTTATCCTACTAAAAACAAAAAGCTCAGAGGACTGAGGACATAGCTCACTACACAGCAATACCCGGCATGCACAGAGCCCCAAGCACTGCAAAAAAGCAAGGCAAGTTCAAAATCTTTATAAAGTGTGTATATACACACACACTAAAATGACAAACATAAAAAGTCAAAAGGCAGGGCTGGGGACTTAGCTCAGTGGTTCTGCCACCTGCCTCGTAAGCTCAAGGTCCCAAGTTTGGCCCCCCGGTACCAAAAAACAAATTTCTATGAGATTCAGGGTTTATTATTTTATGAATATCCACACAGGTCTTTAAGTTCTCCCCTCAGGTGCTGGGGATTGAACCCAGGGCCTCATGTATCACTCGGCTAAACACCCAGCTCTAGACGGAGTCTCTTATTTACTTTAGTTTAATGTCTTTGAGACAGGGTCTCACCATGTAGGTGAAGCTGGCCTTAAACTCATGGCAGTCCTCCTGCTTCAGCCTCCTGAGTACTGGGATGATAGGCGTACACCATCATGCCTGGTTCCTTGAAGAGGTTTTTAAAGGCAATAATAATATAACTAAAAAATGAGCAAATAGCAGCAATACCGTTCCCAAAAGAAAAATAAAGGTCAAAACTTATAAAAAGATTGCTGACCTCAAATGTTAAAAAATGCATTTCAAAATTATGCCATATACAAAAATTATGCCATGTCATATTTTACCTATCAGGTAATGAAAGAAATGCAAGTATCTAATCGGAAACTATCTGAGGACACAAACACACTTGCTGGTAGGTGGGTGCAACACCTCCACATTTAAAGGATCATCTCACAGTCTCTTCTGTAGAAATACGCCCACAAGAGCACAAATACATACGCATTCGGCTGTACAGTACAGCCCATCTGTAACAAGGAAGAGAAGGAAGCCACCTAAATGCTCAATGAGAAAATGGGTTCCATAAATTATGAATGCCCATGTAGCTACTAAGAAGCTCACGCCCAATGTGGTGGCACATGCCTGCGGTCCCAGTACTCGGGGAGGAGGGTCACGAGCTCAAGCCCAGCCTGGACAATGCAGCATCCAAAAGACTGGGGATGTAGGTTAGTGTGAAGGCCCTGGATTGAATCCTTATGTTGGGGGGGGGTAAATCAACATGCAAGGCCATGAAAACAGTTCAAATTAGATACAAAATGCAAAAAGAAGAGATACAAAATATGTAATAAGACCCAGGCTATTTGGAAGAAGTCTGTTTGCAGGTTGGCAGTGCTCCTACTGAGGCAGGCCTGGCCAGCAGAAATCACCTGCACATTTTGTACACTCCCTTAAAAATACCACAGCATAAACGTTCTCTACTTCCCAAGGACCACAGCAGATGTAGGTCACCCTAACAGAAATCTAAAACCACCGCAATCAATTCATTAAATGTTTAAGACCCCCCCCATAAAAACCCCTTATTTTATGGATGCTTACTAATTATCAGGAAATTGGTAAATTATTTTTCTCTAAACACAGATCCAATATTTTTATTATACTAAAAATTTGTTTCTATTTTTCTGTATATTTAAATCTTTATTATTGTAACTTTATTAAATATGTAAACTAATAAAAAATCCATTTTCCAGAGCTGAGCCTCTATTAATCAGGAAAAAAACCAAAGCAGGCAGAGTTCAAGAAACTGAGAAGAGAAAAGGAGAAGAGATCAAGCAGATGAAGAAAGGGAAGGAACCACAAACACCACAACTACAGCACAGGTAACCCCTGCTCAGGACTTGTCACGGGCCTGCTTTCTGCCAAGTTCCTCTTGTGGGATGAACCATTGTTTTCTTAAAAAGAAGTCGGAGGAGCAGACCTAATTGGTCACACGCTGCCTGATCCTGTTTCTGCTCTATTATCCACACAGCAGCCTGGAACTGCCAGGGGCAGAAGGAGGGGAGAGCGGCTCCTGGGGATGGGCTTTCTCTGAGGATAAGAACATGGCTTTGGAACCAGACAGGTGTGGTGATTGCCTAACAGTGTGAACGTATTAAATGCCATTGGCCGTACACTTTCAAACGGTCAATTTACATCATGTGATGTTAATTTCAAGACATACACACAAGAGATACATAAATAAAAATACAGTAAGGAGTGGGACATGGTTAAGTAAATGAGTCTGGAAGCCCGAATAACTTCTGCTGGGCCCAAGTGGTGAGATCGAAGAGTGAACCCTAAATGCTCTATTTTTTAAAAGGCGTAAAAGGATTTAAGGCAGAATTTTAAAAGTACACACAATAAAATAAGAGTGTGGGCCCTCAAAAGCGAGGCACATAATAATAGTCCGGGGATAGCAATATTTATATGTTCTCGGCAGCAAAATGTGTGAATCTATACAAAGTCTGGAGCCTAAAATGGTTTAAATTCAAATTATTTGCAGAAGTGGAAAATCTTTAAAAGCAAAAGGTCTCCAAGCCTTGTTTTGCTTCACTCCAGATCCACGAGCTCAGGCGCCCATTTCAGAGCATGGTGGTGTCCAGTGCAATCCACGCTTAGCACCCGGCCGGCAGGTGAGAAGCTGCCATGCACCATCTGTTACAGATGTACACAAAAGTGCCAGTGTGTCTGGGACTAATCAGGGCTGTTGGGAGCCCAGTACAATGTTTCTTCTGCCTGAGAGGCTTTCTCTTCTCCTGAATGAAATGGCAAAAAATGCTTGCTTTCTTTTTTGTTGTTGTTGTTTTGTTTTTTGAGACAGGGTCTCACTATGTAGTTGAGACTGACCTGGAACTCACTATGTAGCCCATGCTGGTCTCGAACTCACAATGATCCTCCTGTCTCAGCCTCCCAAGTGCTGGGATTACAGGTGTGAGCCACCACACCTGGCAAACATGCTTTCGATATGGCATGCGTTAGACATAAGATTCCACAAGTTTGCATCTCATAAAGAGGCACCTAGTAGCTCATTCAACATTTCTATTTCTTTTGCTTTGCTTTGTTGTTTTTGACAAAGTCTTGTTATGTAATCCAGGTTGGCCTCAAACTGGTGGTGATCCTCCTGCCTTAGCCTCTGGTGCACCGGGATTACAGGTGTGCACCACCACTCCCAGCTTATTCTTTAAAGAGGAAAATGTACAGGTCACTAGCATTTGCTATAATCCATCTCAAGCCTAAGATTTCCGATGCTCTAGTCAGAGGATCTGTTAGCTACGAGCTCAAAGCAAGTGACGGTCACCACTGGGACTCAGGCTGGTGGATCAGCCACACACCGAACACTGTCGGCCACTGTGCAAACGCTAATGGTCCTAAGGGACAGGGGCTGTTTCTCTGGAAACATCTGCCTTTCTGCTTTCTGTCCCTGAGGAAAAGATGATTAAATCATCACACTCAGGTCCTGTAAGGACTTTTGAAAGCCCACTTTACTTAAGGTTTTCTGAGTCAAGAACAGAGAGCCAAAGGCCAGCGCAGTGGGCAGTCATGGCAGGCAGAGTCCAGGTGACTGGCACAGCCCAGGACCCTGACAGAATGCCAACAAGACCAGCATCGCCCCATGTCACTACAGACCTGTGCCGCCCGTTCATCTCCAGGCCCACGACTGGGCAGATGAAGCGTGCCCGCTGCAGGTCATCATGCTTGTCGCCTTTCGTGTTTCCTCTGTCCCCTTCCCAGGCAGGATTATCCGAAAGCTTCAGCTCTGTCACACTCTGTGAAAAATCACTCATGTTTTAAGAACTCGTTCGGCAAATAGATCATTCGTTGCCTCAATGGCCACCCAAATCAAGAGAAATTGTTTTTTTTATTCTCTTCCCGGCAGAACCTTTTTTTCTTAACCACCTGGCCATCAAGAAATGTGAATATAAAATTAAACCATAAATTGTATAGAAAATATTTAAAGAATTCACGGACCAGCAAATACAGATGTTCCAATCAGGCCCAAGGCAAAGCAAGATGCAGGTGACACCTAAGGCCCTGAGTGTCTCGGCTCAGATACATGGTGCCTGGGAAAGCACTGGCTGCTGGGCTCCAGGGCCACAGGACTGACCAGGGGCCGTAACTTGACGCTGCCGATGCCACCTGAGTCTCTAGCAGTGGGAAAGGGTCAAATTCCAAGTGAAGTATGACTTCTACCAAATGTGTATCACTTTTGTACAGCATAACATTAAACACTTTTTAAGTTGAACCATCATAAACCAGAGCTGTCTATTAACTAGGCAGATCTATTTTACAAACGTTTTGTTCTTTAAGGAAAAGCATCTTCCCATATCAGCAATCACTGCATGGGGCTGGGACACAGCTCAGGGGCAGAGCGCTTATCCAGCACCACTGGAAACAAACCAGCCCCACATGGTGAGAATGCTTATCTCTGCCCAGAAAAGGGCTCTTTTGCTTCCCACTGATGGTGCCTTGCCAGGCTGCTCCATCCTGCTATTCAGATTGACAGAATAATTGCACAGTTAGGAAAACCTGAGGGCCACTGAGTAAGGAATCTAAACAAGACCATCAGCCAGAAAACCCTGTTACATTTTGAGACACAAATGTCCAGGTTTTCAAAAATTCAACTTTTCAAGGAGCCTGATTCAGCAGCTCTACGTCAGCAAGCAAGGGGTGTCGTCCCGCTGAGACCGTTTGGATCTCCACAACTCCACATGCCGGAGGACGGATGGAGGGCAGCCCCACTCACACTCACGGCCTGCTTCTGCTCTCGGGAGCATCTGGGGCCTGCGATGATAATCTCGGAGAGCCACAATGCTTCATCCGAGTTCTTTTTCTCTACTCTTCCAATTTCTCAGAGAGGTGTGTGCATGTATTAAATGATCAACTCTACAAAACTATATATTGTGTTTTGAATATAGAATTATATGAACTAATTTCAATAATTGAATTTTTGAGGCAAGGTAATTCATGTTGCCTTGTATTTTTCAGTAATGAACTTTCTTCCCAAAGTAAAAGATAATTAAAACCAGAAGGCAATTTCTACAGCACTGCCACCAGACAGATGTATTTCAGAATTAACTTGCCTGAAAGAAGCGTATCCTGTAATCACCCAAAGAACTCAAACAAAAAGCCTAATATAGTAAGAGAGAGAAAGAAAAAGTGAAGACCCCTAAAGTTTTAGATCGGGAGCTGAGGATGTGATTCCACTTTAAGCCTTCACTGGCCAAGTGTCTTCAAGAGACAAAGGATTCAAAATCCCGATGACTCTTAAATTCATTATCATTCTCCTTTTGTTCCTTTTAACTAGACTGAAAAGATTCTGTCCTCTTAACAAACTTCCTTTACTAAGATCATTTTTCCAGTTTTTTTTTTTTTTTCCTGGTACCAGGGATTGAACTCAGGACCTTGCACTTGTGAGGCAGGTGTGGTGCCATCGAGCTAAATCCCCAGCCCTTGATTTTCCAGTTTTATGAAACCATTTTAAATGCTAATCAGAGCTTCCTAATGGCAGAAGTAGGCACGCCTGCCTACCATGGACAGAGGGTCCTGGGTCTGATTCCTAGCACTGAAACAAAAACAAAAACCAACCAAATTCAAAAAGCTTAAGCTACTTGAAATTTACATTTGGAATGTATTTTCATAGAATTAGTGATTCTTTTTTTAGGGGTGTGTCTTTTGATTTTGAGGCAGGGTCTATGTTGTCCAGGCTGATTTTAAATTTGTGGGCTCAAGGGATCCTCCTGTCTCACTCAGCTCCCCCAAGAGACTAGAACTATAGGCATATGCCACCAAGCCCAACTAGAATTAGAATTCATAGTAAGGTTCACTTTTTTTTTTTTTTTTTCCTTTTTTTGGTACTAAGAATCAAACTCTGGACCTTGTAATTGCCAGGCAGGCCCTTGTTTGTCTGTTTCTGGTCCCGGGGATGGAACTCAGGACCTTGTGCTTGTGAGGCAGGGCATGGAACCACTGAGCTAAAACCCCAACGTACTGTTGGGTTTGTTTTTTGAGGCAGGGTCTCAGTATGTAGTTTGGGCTGGCCTTGAATTTATTATGTAGCCCAGCCTGGACTCGAATTCGCAGCAATTCTCCTGCCTCAGCCTCCTCAGCACTGGGATCACAGGTGTGCACCATGCCCGGATTTGAATTTAGTCTTTGATGTACATGAATTCTATAAAACAACCTTCACCCACTGAGACCCCTGGAGCAGTTGGGTCCCATCTTACCTTTATGCTTTTGATGTGAGACGCTGCCTTCCCCATGGCTTTGTCGGCAGATTTGTCCAACAGAAACTCGATGACAGCATCTTTGTTATAAAGTCTGCAGGAATGAGGATGGATCACATTACAGTGGCCACAATCCACTTCCAAATAACAAAGCAGCAGCTCGAACATGACCCAGAAGTCACTTGCAACTGACACAAGCAATGCCCTGCACTACTACAAGACACACTTCACCCTGTCTGACCAATGCCAGGGCACATGAAGAAACTTTTTAAAACTAAAGGCAGCAGGGGCTGGGGATGAATCTCAGTGGCACCACTGCCTGCCTCGAAAGCACAAGGACTCGAGTTCCCTCCCTGGCACCCCAAATTTTTTAGTTTTTATTTATTTATTTTTTCATTTTTTGAGACAGGGTCTCCCTATGTAGTTGAGACTGAACTGGAACTCACTATGTAGCCCAGGCTGGTCTTGAACTCACAGCGATCCTCCTGCCTCAGCCTCCCAAGTGCAGGGATTATAGGCGTGCGCCATCATGCCCAGCACCCCAAATTTTTTTTTTTAAAATAAAATAAAGGCAGCGAAACTGCCGTGTAAGGGCTGATGCAACCTGAACAAAGACTTAAAACTGGGAAATATACCGTAAAAATTCTTATTTTTAACTTTTCTTCAAAAATAAAAAAATCAGAAGATTTAGAATCATGAGGCCTGTACTTCTTGGACTGCAGGAAGTGCCTGGACCTGAGTTCTCCAGCTGCCCACTCCCCCATCTCTCCTGCATCGCTCTCAGTCCCATTCACACTTTAGGTTTCTAACTTGGCCCAGGACCTGGTGCTTACAAGGCAGGCAGCAGCACCACTGAGCTACATCCCCGAGTTTTCTTTTTTAAAAACACTGATTTAGCATATCTGCAATACATCATAAATCTACTCACCATGGAGTATGGCACACACAGCTTCATCTTTTCACTTCCCCTTCCCCTGTCTTCCCTGTGGCCCTTGGGTTTTCTAACCACAGATTAAACCAAATGGATTAGGATATAGAATTATGTTCAGAGACAAGGAATACTATCCTATGTCTCACGGATTTGCTTGGAATGATTCAAGAACTGTATTTACACATTTAAGTTCTCTTCAAAGTCACTGAATAAACTTGTCTTGATTAAGTACAGAACCATACCTGCCAAGTTCACAGGCAACTATTGGTCGTCTTAGTATTTCCTGACTTAGAGTACAATAGTTCCACTGGGCCACTAATTCCGCATCTTTGTCAACCTAATAAAAGAAAACAAAAAACTTTCCATTAATTTTACCTCTGAAAAGACACACGATCCACAGTTCTGCATCTCAAAGTTTATTCAATAATACCTACCAGTGATGTTTTTATTTTTTAAATCAAAGATAGTATCACAGGAAGTTGGAAATTTAAAAGTCCTAAGTAATGAATACCATGTCAAATAAAGGTCCATCTAAAGACAATAAAAAAAGTTTGAATCACATCACTAAATCATATGCAGGCTATGCACAAATATGAACAACAGACTGGGGAGGCTGTACCAAAACAAAGTAGTACATATTAACTTCTAATCCTGGTAAAGGGTCTGACGTTATGGCAGAATTTAAAGACAGAATTGAAAAGACGGTTGTTTTTTATTTTTTTCTTAATGCAGAACAAAGGCTATATGATTCTTTACAGAACTCCAATTCCAGCCAGCAGCAGCCGGTGTTTTGCTTCTTCTGCAAGGGTGCATCAACCCGTACCCACTGCTGTGGCTTCAGTGTCTCCAGGAAGCTCACGCTGAAATTCGTGGTGAGAGGTGCTGAGCAGCGGGAACAGGCGGGATCTTCCATTAGTGGATTTGATCCACTCAGACTGATGAGCTAAGAATGCTTAGTGACTTATCTCAGAGTGGGTCTGCACCAAGGGCTGGCTTGGCTTCCTTATGTGCAACCCTGACAGGTGACACCTCATGCCACCTCTGAGTCTGCAGCAAGGCCCTCACCCTAGCCAGGAATGGTGGCACACACCCACAATCCTAGCACTCTGGAAGACTGAGGCATGAGGACTGTGAGATCCCACCTGGCCTGGCTACTCAGTGATTTAACTAGACCCCGTCTCAAAATAAAAAAGGGCTGGCTCTGAATTAATAAAAAAAAAAAAAAAAAAAAAAAAAAAGG